TCACAATAGCTAACTGGGTTTAGTAGAAGTTTGGAACACACTCCTTGTTGAATAGATGACCCTAAAGTTAACTCAACCTTAAGGGCAACACCCACAGGATCAGGGTCAGTAGGTGTTTACAGGCCAAGAATCAAGAATAGGTATTTTAAGTGATGTATGGTACAAGGCTACTTGCTCTACAAAGAAGGGCAGCTCGTAAAAATGTCCATGGCTTGGGCATTTGGGCCATACAATTATCGAGGTATAGTAACAGCTAAACTCAAGCTGATTTTTGATGATAAACATCTTTAAAGCAGTAATCAGACTGTGAATTTTTGTAGTACACGAAAGAGGCACTGGTAATCGAGAAACGATTTTATAAATAGGATAAGCAGTCTCTAATGATTAGGAACAATACATAGCACTTAGTAGGTGCTCAGGTCATATGTGCTGAAAGTCAATACAGTTTGAATTTTATAATTTGGACTTTGAACAGATAGGTCCTAGTCCATTTAGACTGAGGTTTTTGCTTACGTTAAGTCATGCTTGTTCTATTGTTAACTTACAATAGCAATATTTTTTGGCCATAACTTGACCAAAAATAAGTGTTATTGAAGTAATCCTTCAATTTGTACGAGAAGTTGTTAGTTCCCCCCAACGGCTAATGGTAATCATACTGTGGAATTTAGCTCTGCAGACTATTGACAAGGGCAATGAACAAGTTCATAACAATAATAAGGGCTTGTTTTAATAGAACGTTCCATGCATTAAACACATTAATGACCCATGAAATAACTGTTTTATCTGCAACACATTAAGCAACATTACTAAAGCAATGCATTAATTGAAAGTCTGCTATTTCTCTTAATGAAAGATTTTGAAAAGTAGAAAAATGGCATGCCAGTCATTTCGTAGAAACAAAAATAATTCAGCTTCAAAATTAGAGCCATTCCAAATGATTGTATGGAAAATAAAAACTTCTAATGTAAGACTGGTCATTTCAGATGTATTATTTTTATATATTCCCATGGGTTTTTTTTTTTCTGGTTAAAAAATGCTATCTGCCTAGATGATAACTTAGGAGTCTTATGAGTCGTCTAAAAGCTTGTCATTTTCTTCTCTGCATGCTTATCTTCTATGGGACTTGCCTTCTCTTTTTCTCTTAACAGGTACAGACTGTCATACTCACACATCCCTCCCTTACTTCCGCCTTTTTCAATTTTCTAACACTATGTTTGATATTGCTAGAGGACCAGTGTAGTATTTTCTATAAATATGTGCTATCACAATTAAATCCACAGCATATCAAACAGAAAATGTCAGTCCTCTAAACATGAACTATAATGTATGAAGAGAAAGTATGTGAATTATCAGTGTGTTTTATAAATTCTCTTTTGGGGGGCATACCAAATATCAGACTAGAGACAATTATTGTACTGTCTGTTTCTTGGCTATCAAAGAGAATTTTGAAATTCATCAAAGCTAACCTTCTGTTATGTACAACAGGCTCAGCTGAAAAGAATGTTAACAAGTTCAATTTTCATTCAATCAGCACTACTGCTCTCTGAAATGTTTCATTGCAGGAAAGAAATAAAAATAATCTATATGGTAATTATGAGGATGAATCCCCCAGTAACTTTCAGCTACATGAAAGGTCAGTTCTATTCAAGATATTTTATCAGTCCCCTGCACATACTCCTGTCCTGTCATTTTAAATCTGAACAGCATTTTATTTTCCCATTTACAGCTACCTACAGAATTAAGTACTTAAGCCAAATAAGAAAAAAAAAAAAAAAGAAAGAAAAAAAAAAAGAAATGTTGAATGCTGGCTAAGGCTATAATAGCATAGAGATAAATCGTTCAGCTGCTCTCTCTCAAGCCTCCAGGGCTGCAGATTTCTCTTCTCCTGGTGCACTGTGGGTATTCAAAACTTGTTCAACATGATTTCATTTCATTTCAGGCACTGCCTGAGAAAACTAAATTACAGAATCAATCATACAGAGGGTCAGAGTGAGACTTCATTACAAGCATTGCATGCTTGCATGAATATCTTTCATTTATGACTGACCCAATATGTCACAATAGCTGTCTAGTAAAAATAATCCACTTTCTGAAATTGATGTACTACTGATGTCAATGCTACTTGGGCAGATTATAGAGAGGTGTTTAAAAAAAAAACAAAAAAAACCTTTGGTGCGCTCAATGTAGATTTTTTGGATTGCAATCTTTTGTAGATTAAAATAATTTCCAGATGATCATCTGCACTGACAATAAGGCTTAGAGGGAAAGGCATTTTTTAACCAATTTCTACTCGTCAACCACATACTGCTTTAAAAGACATGTATCCACAACACACAAATCAAGGTTGTTCTTTGAAGTCACAAACGCATCCACTTTCAATTTTTCAACAATTCGTTTTTGTATACGGGAGCATTATTTGCATATTTGGAAATGTGAATGCTAATCGTTGGGCTTGTTTTTTAATCCCTCTCGGTTCCTGCTTTTTTGTTTTTAAATATAAGGACATACATGTAAAGCAGATAAACACGTTGTGCTGTTGCCAACAGAAATGCAGCTGATCAGTAATGTGACAAACTGTCACTCTTTCTAAAGGAAAACCAATGAGGCTCCGAAGAAAAGCTGGTTCGATACAACATAAACAAACTGGCTTTTCTTCTTCTATGATTGTCTTAATTCGCCGTAGCAATCCTTAACAGACAGCCATATGCATTTGGATAATAAACCTTCTCACTCGCGTACGGGAAGAAATAGCCGTGCGCACTGGGAAGCCGAATGCATGATGTATAAAGTATTATTTATTATTTTTCTGGTGACCTTCCTGTGGGAACTCTCCGAGGAGCTGCCGTGGAACATTATGTATGTAGCCAGCCAGCTCGGTCCCCACAGGGAGATAGAGAAGAACCTTGACATAACCTATTTTTAACCATGCCTCTGGCGATTCTGAATTCAAGTTTATAGGTGAACATGTCAGGTAGTACATAGAACAAAGCCAACGACACATTGTATTCATCATAATTCTGTCCTAGTACATTTTATTTTTTCCAACATTTGTGATTTAAAATCCCATGACATTTCTTCAAGGTGAAATTCTACTAGCGTTTTCAACAAGCTTAGTTTGTTTCAAGCCAAAATAAATATCATTTTAGGTTCAGCAAAACTTCAGAAAGGCACCAATAAATGTGATGAGGTCCATGTAAATACCAAGACAACAGCCTGCACTTAGCTAAAGTACTTATACTTTTAAAAATCAATGAAATATTTCAACTGCTTTAGTGATTAGCCATACATTACAAAAACAGCATTAAAAATGGAGTCCTCTTCCCCAACGCCAGTCCGTGAAAGCATTGTTCTTTAAGTGTATGTGAATATCATAATTATTTTATGATTCCATCTTTAGTTCTTTCCAATATAGTAAATTCAATTGACCATGAAATGAAATTTCATAGTCAAAATGCCTCCTTTACACTTTTTTATAGCAGCAATAACAGTTTTATAGCTTTAAAGCAAGGTGATTCATCAGATGTTTAATTTAAAGTCAGATTCTTATATTATTAATAAATATTTACCAATTTAATAAAGTACACATTTTAGCATGCATTATATGGTCTTTTAACTATTTCCTCAACTTTAATGAGCCTCGCTGAGTATCTATGAATAATGGTGAACCCTGGCAAACTCCCTTGGTGACTACCCACCCTCTTTATTTTTATTATTTGCCAGGCACAACATTGCAAGCCTGACTGTAGAGCAACAAGACAGAACCCTCCTCTGCAGTGTCAAAGGGACAAAAATGTAACAGAGTCCACAGGAAACAATTATTTGTGATGGTAGGAAACGTTTATGAATACTTAATGACCCTTTCCTGACTGTTGGCTGCATTCTTCACCTACAAAAAAGTAAAAATAAAAACCCTGATGTTCAGCTCAAACACAAAAGATCACAGGCAAAGAAAATTATGTTTCCGCAATCCTATTTGGGAAAGTAATCTTTATATTTCAGAGAGCACACAGAATCTCTGCTCACTAATCCACTACATATTTGGCAATTGTCTGTTGTTATCTGGGGAATTAACAATGAAACCAGTAAACATCATTGGTGTGGTCCTAATATGCAGAGAAAAATGTAAACAAGCAATAGGATTTGTTTTTTTTTTTATACCAACACATCTGTTTCATTTTATCCAAGTTAAAAAAAAAAACCCTATAAACTATTAATCTTGTTTTAAAATGCCTGCTAGGTACCTCGCCTAGGTAGACACAAATGCTTTCTATATGGTGGTGAAAAAAAACTAGAACAAAACCATCCCAACAGAAGAGTTTCAAATACTTAAGTAGATTTACTCTGGCGATTGCTGACTATAATTGCACACTAAGAAAAACAGAACCAAAATAATTGCATTAGCAATCTTGGCTCTCTTTGGTGCCTTAGTCGATATTTACAACAATAAATTAGACAATTAGGTATATTTCACACCATCACCTGCTCTATATTTTCCTCTGCTGGTTAGAAGCAATTATTTGTTTTCCCTTTCTCTGTATCCCAGTTTGATATTTCCTTTGAGGTAGGACCAGACTGTGTATTACAAACATTCTGTTATAATCCAACAAATGCAAAAGACCCAGGCACCTGATAAGGGCTGCCATGTCTAAAATCTCACCTGGGCAAACGTTCAACTCCAGGACACTACACTTTCTTGTTAAACCAAAGGCAAGGGAAGACTGGCTAGTTCCAAACCAATATGAGGCTTCTTAAAAATCGTTTCAAATCAGAAAGGTCTTGTTGGGTCATCCTCTTTCACGTGACTGTCAACCAACCCAACACCCTCTTGTCCAATACCAGGGGTTGATCTAGTAGTACCTGTGCTCACGGGGCACTGGGAAGAACAATCCCGTGTCCACCGGTAGATAAACATGAGCACGTTTCAGAACTCAGGCTCAGATATTCTCCATGAGAAGTGAAAAGGAGAGAAAAAAGTTTCGAGCAATGATTGTGCTGCCTACCATATGCAACCCACTGCCATGGAGCACGCCATCTTGTTCCACGAGATTTCTTGAGATTGTAATGGAAGGAAGATCCAGGCTCTGAGGGGGAAACTGGGGTGTGAATTCACTTCCCTGGGAAGGCACTGGATCGCTGAGGCCTTGGAAGGGTAGAAGTACATCCGACATGCCCAGGGCGGGGTCTGACTCTGGAGGAGGCGTGATCGGAGGGATTTCAAACTCCTCATCCCCGAGGCTTGGGGTGTGGAACGTCTGCTAAAAGGAAACAAAATACAGATATCTTCATATTCTGTTCCTATATCTTATTTCTCCCTGGAGGGAAAAAGAAAGATTTTTGCATGAAAACACTACCGAGCGAGGCCAAATATTTATTTCTCCAATGAAAACATCTTAAACACAGATTTCCATATACAAAGTTTTGCTGATCATTCTGATTAAAGATTTAAGTCTCATTATCATATGGTTTTAATGGAGTATCAGTATTAACAGTTTTTTAATGTGTACTTAATTAGCAACATCTGTCTTTGTTGTTAGCTGGAGCACCAGTGACATTAGATTTGGCTATATAACAAATTGCCACTTTATTGATATGTTAGTGAAACAGCCCAAACCGCTTACATTATCCACATGCTTCATAAAATGCTGGCGATTTCGTGGTGCACACACACACAACATTAATCCAGACGTGAGCATTGCACATATTTACTCTCTGTCACAACATATAAAACAAGTCATATTAAATTTGTGGTTTGCTTTTTAAATTTCCTTATTGGTATATTCCCAAGTGCAATGAAGGCGTCTATGAAAAGCGTTACTGTTTGTAATACAACATGTTTACATAAGGCCTAATAACAGAGTAAGATCCTGTGCTTTTATTTAAACTATAAGGACAGTGATTTTCTTTTATGTGAAGATTTTGATATTTATCAGAATATTGTCTGCCAGTCTTCAACTTTGAAAGACTATCTATAGAATGAGCATAGAGATATACTGATATATAGATGAACTGACTCCATTGATGTTCACTTATGAGTTATTTTTTGAGACCTAAGAGTAAATAACGCACTGCTTTCTTCATGCTACATAGGTTCTTAAAGATAGTGTTTTCAAATACAACCTTTTGATGTAAATCTGAGCTGCCTTCCTCAACTGCACTAACCATCTTTCTTAAACTAGAACTTGATTTTTTTGGGGGGGTGGGGGGGTGTCAAGGTCTAGGATATTATCTTTGGTAGGGTGAAAAGGTTGGGGGCCACTCATATATGTTTTATTCCTAGCTCAGAGGGTCAAAGTTATAGTTCATTGATTATTAATAATATTTTTAAAGAATGAATTGGGGCAAGATAATTTGAATATGCCATAATTGGTTAAGAGAACCAATTTAGAGCTCAAAATCATCATCCTTCAAACTATCAACTGATGATATAATTTAACAACCACTTGAGGGAAAAGAGAAACAAACTGAAGGGGGGAAAAAAAAACCCAAAAACCATTTCTCGCATACATAACCCTATCAAGCGTTATTTCTGTCTTACCAAAAATATACAGGTCACCAGCTCTGGGAGTCCAAACTATGGGAGTCAAGATGATTGAACATCTTGAGCTTCATAGCAGATTGAATATATGCAAAACATTACAGCCCATTTGAAAGCTAGAATGAAATATTACATTTTCTGACATATTTATTCTAATAATGACCCCCCCCAAAAAAAGATGTTGATTTCTTCTTACTATGGTACCCCAAGTTCTCAGACACAAAGGGATGAATTGGCTGCAAATGTAGTTGGCTAATGAACATAACCCTATGGCTGCATTTGCTGTTATTTTGGCGCTAATGTGATCTAGGAACAGATGCAACTGTAATTTGTGACTCGTTTGCTACCCCATTACTGCTTAATGAAATCTAACATATCACATTAACAATACGGATAAACACTCATTCTTGATATGTGGCATTTGGCTGTTTTCATTACCACTGTAATTAACACTTGAAATATTATTTCAATAAATATTTAAAGTACTTTAAAAATGGTCAGGGTAATCATGACACAAGACAGAAAACACAAAGCAAATGTGTGAATTTCAAACTCAAGAGTGTCCTACTCTCTGTAGTGTTATCTATAGGGTAATATCTGCACGAAGGGAATTGGTTTCAGGCACAATTTCGACTTTATGGCATCAAACTTAAAGTCTTCCTGAATTAGTTTGCACTCATTAAAATGTTAAAAAAAAAACCAAATAAATTTAATTTTAATGCAGTGACTGGGAAATTAGGCACATGCTGCAATGTAGTGAGTGCATTAACATTTACTTGGGCCTTATTTTTTTGTTCCAAGAAAAGATGGATAGTGAAATCATTACATAAGATTACCTCTTACAATTCTAACAAAAACACATCTTACGCTAGGCAGTCAAAATTAAGGAGGTTTTCATTTTTAATTTTGTTAAGGAATAGAGGCGATATCTTACATATAATACATCCCTACGGTATAATTTTTTAAAAGGTTAATTAATTTTAGGTTAGAATTTCGTATACTATTATATCATAACCTAATAAAACAATACAAGAAAATTATATTACAATATATAACCAAGGCAATGCTAAAATCTTAAACCACTTTTAAAGAGAGGTAATATGTTAAACACCCACTTAAACATTTCTTAGTGAAAAAAGTAACCAAAACACTGGTTTTATCTGAGATTATAGAAAGAACCATGTAGGGCATCGACAACAACAAAAATATTGACTCTTGCACACTATGCCATATGACCACGAGATTAATCATTTAGAGTTTCTATGATTACTTCTTCCAGATATTGACTTTTCAGTGTTTACCTTGAACATGCTAAAGTAGTATGTACATGGTTAAATACCATCTGTACTGAAATGTTCAAAACATTTGTTCCTTTTGATAAAAATGCAAATCTGGAGAACTGTTGTATCAACATATAACAGCCAATGTCTGACACGGTGAATTATCACAGCTGGAATTAAATTGTCTCTGAGCAGCTGCTGGCAGTAGAGCTTTCATCAATGTTTGATTCAAATGTAGGGAAAAAAATCCTACAGAATGAAACATCATGTTGTCCGTACAGATGGGGTTTGTGTTCATTATCACAAACAACACAGCAGCCAGTGCCAAACAATTTTCCCTTATCGAGGCTGTCTTCTTGGTTACGGAGAGGATGGTCACTGTAAAAATGATTCATCTACAACAACTACCCTTACTTCTGGGGGCCCCCATTTTTTTCTAATCATTTCTCAAAGTTAATTTCTTTCGTACCACTTGCTGCCCGGTACCAAGATCATGTAAGAAGCCAGTGTGCTTTCCATTCTCTGGGGTCGAGCTAGTTTGGTTTCCTATATTTGAATGTATTTGGAAAACGAAGACTTTTTATTATAAGAACGGCCAAGAGGAAATGTTCCATTTGGACCAATTTCACTTGTGTTTGTTCTTGTTTTAAAATCTTAAATCTCACACAGTCTACCATTTTTAGGAAACCATTTTCTTGATCTAATCAAGATCAAGGTTTTTCTGGCGGGCAGGCCAATAAGCCTTAAGTCAGTGAGTATGGAATTCAGCAAACACAGCAGCAAGGAGGTTTGTTCCATTCGCACTGGTACACTGTGGACAAGCACAGAGCCCACGTGGTGCTGCCTGTATAAACATTCCACCGCCCAGGCTTCCTGGATATGACCCGGTCTTGGAGCATGTCCATTCATTCATTCACTCATTCATTCAATACTTATTGAGCACCTACTATGTACCAGGCACTGTACTAGGCTGTGGGGATCTAACAAGAACCAACACGCATTTTATATCGCTCCCACTGAAGACCCGAGAAGCTATATAATACTGCTCTGCCACGTTTGTTTCCCAAACATGGCAACTTAATGAAATTATTCCCCAGAGCTATATGACGCTAAAATACTTTCCATTAAGTCACTTCCATCTTAGCTTCCAAAATAGCCAGTTACCTGCTTAGATAGCAATACAGTTTGGATAGGTTTCATATACTTTCCTATATATTTACTTTTGTTTGCATATGTATTTCTTTCCATCAAGAGATGTGTATGAATTGCTAACATTCGTAACAGCCTATGGACAAGTGATAAAGATGTGTCAAGTTATTTTCTTTTCCAATAGGTTTTTGTTCTCATTTCTCCTCCAAAGTCATTACCTTGTGCCCCGTGAGAGATAAATTTGATACTCCGCTTTTCCCATCAAGCCTTTTAAATGATCTAAATAACACACGAAACATGAAGAGACATCTCAAGACAGACACCTACCTCACTGGCCGCAAAGAAAGCGTTGTTGGCCTCAGCCATATTCATGTAGTTATTGTTATTTCCAAACTGAAAGAAAACAGATTGTTTTAGGTTAATATGCATCATGATAAAGAGAGTTACTGGTTTACTTAATACGTGGTGGGATGTGGAAAGAATGGTGGTGTTAAGAAATAACAAGAGTGCTTTCCCTCAGACCAAATGGGAACCGTGACAGAGGTTTCGAAGCACCATGCTAGACGATGCTGTCAGCTGGTTCCCTCAGAAAAATAAAGCACGAAGTTAAGTTACCGCGATAATTCTAGAAAATAGTGTTGCTTCTCATCAAGACTAATAATAGCAAAGGGAGACAATTACAAACATTTAGCCAATTGATCACTAGTGGGTGTTGTTTATTGAACTGGCATTTGTTGGAGGTAGAAGAGAAAGAGTTTCCCCCCAAATCACCTCGATACATTTTTAGAGCATGCTGGGATTTATTTCATAGCTTACTTTTTCAAGAACAGATGTCACAAGTGTGGGTAGGTTAAAATGTGAATTAAAGGGAATAGGATTCAATTCCCAGGACTCAAATTCTATTTTCTAGTGAATGGGGTGTGGCATGAATATAAATAAATTATAAGACTAAAGAATATTTTTTAAATCTCCAGAGTTTAAAACGATATCTATATCCATCAGAGCTGTTGAAAATAGTGATATTTAATCTCTCAGTGTAACATTAAGTGCAAAGAGGTTTAAAAAATAAGCGAGATCCTATGAACACAGCAATTTTTATTTAATTCCCTAACACAATAGCCCATTCATACCATCACAAATAAGACTGTATCAGCGTTTCAGACATAAGCTCTTTACTTCTGGAGACCTGTTATCAAAATGTAAAACTTGGATTTGGGCAGAAATGTATTTTCAGTTTTGGACGGCACAAGTAGGCACGTTTTGTTGCTTTAAACATTCTGTTATCGGTCTGGCAATATGGAAAAGCTCTGTGAACATAATTATCTGGGGCTATATTATTTTCATGATTTTTTAAACGGTAAGAGAATGCCCTCCTTTTTATAAAGTGTATGATTTCCTTTAATGCATCGAATAACACCTAGGTTTCGTCTCCAACGCGTGAAACGTATATATCCATTCGCTAATATAGAGAGACCTAGTAATTATTTAAAGTGGAAGGCACAATTTTCCCAAGGAGAGAAATACGCACATAGTACGTAGACTATAGATATTGATATGGAAGACTCACGTAAATCTTTGCAGTAAACCCACCAACACTTTTCCGGGGGGCTCTCAGCCCGACAGTGAACCTGTAAGACCCGTGCAGGGAAGCAGGATTGACATGCTACACTTTATCATGTCAGGGATCCAAAAGCTAAGCAGGATTTATACGAAAGACTCTATGGTTCCAGAGCGCTGTTCTGGTCCACAGAAGGAAAATCCCACTGTGCAAAGCGACACCTCAATACACAATCACACAATGAGCCCTCAGATTCATTTGGATAAATATCTTTATAAGGATTTCTGAAAGATGTATTTGTTAGCGCTTAGGAAAGACCTTTATCTGGTTTCTCTGAAGGCATGTGATATCAAAAGCATGTGGTGATGGTTTCACAAACGTATGCTTATCTCCAAACTATCAAGTTGTATACATTAAGCATGCACAGTTCTTTGTAAGTCCATCATACCTCAATAAAGTGGTTTAAAAATAATTTTAAAACCTAAAAAAAACACACACACCTGTGAGCAGGTGCATACACATGTGCACACATACACAAACATATTTTCCCCACGTTTCTACAATGTTAAATATAGGCAAGAAAAAGTAGAGGTTTCTGTCTTGGAATTTTTGATGAATCAATGATCCTAGAATTAAAATCTCAGACCTCCAGTCCGAATGTTCTTTATAAATATTTATGAGAACTTGGGTCACGATGTGTGTTTCATGCACCAATCCTGGCTCCCCAAACCGCCCGACAGCCTGCATCGCAACTTTAACGTTATTTAAATGCAGGTTTGGTTGGGGAATTAGAAATCCAGTTAAGGCAAAGAGCTCATTATCACAGAGTATTTTTTTAAAGATTAAACTCAACTTATTATCTAATAGCACCTAAAACAACAAAGAAAAATAAAATGGCTATTAAAGTAAGGGCCTAAACAATTCAAAAAACAAATTAAGCTTCGAGTGAAATAGGAACTGGGTTAGAAATCCTCTTCTGAACAGTTAGTATGCGAATGTAATTACTGAAGAAACTACAGCTAATCAGCTGTGAATTGTATCCATTAATTAGTATTTGCCCTGGAGAAATGAGAAAAGTCAGTAACAACACTGGCGCTGCCACACGACAGCGGCACAGCGTTTAGTCAGGCAGGTGGCTCCCGTGGTCCACGTAATTTGAAAAGCTCTCACCTGAAGTCCTGCGCTGGAATCGCAAAGCACTTCTTGCCTATCTTTTGTATCTACATAAGGTCTTAATCAATGGCTTTTAATTTGCAAACACTCGGCGATCAGGCAGGAACAGTTATAAATCATTGCAACGAGAAGCAAAGGTTTTTGTTCTGTTTTAGGCAAAAATATCTCCTCCACAAAGATGGCTTCCAATGTTGACATTTGCGGCGTCGGTCTCCCCTCCTGCACAGGTGGCCAGGTCCCGGGTTTAGTGCAGTTGGGTAGTCAGGTAAACTACAGGACACCCAGTTAAATCTGACTGTCAAGTAAAACAACTTTTTTTTTTCTCTTTTTCTTTTTTTATTATATAAGTATGTCCCATGTCCTATCTGGGATATACTTATACTTAAAAAAAAATTATTTATCTGTGATTCAAATTTAACCGGGTGTTGTGTATTTTTATTTAATAAATCTGGCCACCCTACTGTGGTGGTTACCCTGATCAGGATAAAAGAGTTGCCATTTTCCATTTGATGGAAATGCTAGTAATGCTAGCATTTTAAATGTTATTTTATTTTATTTGCTTTAAAATGTGACCTATGAATCCTGTTTTACTTGTTTGTATAAGAGCAGATCCAACTCGGAGAGAAAAAGTGATGCTTTGGGGATGGCTCTCTAATATAATGACCTCAGAACAACTAACTTTAACTGAATTGTGTACAATTAAGTTTACTTGATGTTCTAAAAGACAGTGACATCGGTAAACACATATTACAAAAAAAAACCTCGGTCCCCTAGGTCCACAGGAAGGGGCCTCTCCCGTGTTTAGCATTGTCTCTCCAAAACTAACAATGCCGGGCGTATTTTAAGCAGGAGGGAGGGAGGAATCGTTTTAACCTCCGTGTCTCATAATCACCCATCCTAACTGGAGAGATTGGATCACTTACGTTTTTATGATGAGAGTGATGATGATGATGATGATGATGTTTATCTAGTGAAGCCCTCTATATACATTAATTTTCTAAAGTGCGACTAAATGTAATTTATTTTCCCAACGACCAGTTATATAACCATAACTACTATCCCCACTGTATAGATTAATAGACTGAGGCTTCTCAAGGTCAAGTTACTTGCCCCAAATCAGATACAAACATGGAAGTCTGAAGTCCCTCCTGCTTCGCAATCTTTATCACTTATATTCCAATACCCACAAAAACTTGAATATTACACCGTGATCAATTCAATTTTATAACTGTATATTTATCAATCTTACTGAAAACCAGAATTTCCCGGAGGGAATTTCAAGGTACCAAAGGCCAGTGATGTGATGCTCAAGAAAAGGGCTCCACAACCCGGTAAGTTTATCAAAGGTTGCACATGACTGCCCTCTCTGATGAGTCACTCTGATGAGTCACAATGGTGGCTACAAAGTTAAAGGCTCTGAGAAGTCCTGCAGTGCATTCTTCAGCAAATATTTATGTGCCTACTATGCGCAAGGCATTGTGCTAGGCACTGGAGACAAAATGGTGAAACAGATGACAAGGTTCCTACTTGGATGGAGCTTACATTTTTCTTCAAGTGGGAGACAGCACCCCCCCC